ACCAACAGCACCAGAAACTATTCCGAGTGAAAAAGAGGAGAAAAATCACAATTTCAAACGTGAGACAAATGGCCAGATTTCATAGTATGAAACTCATATTTTCTCGCAAAAATATTCTTCAAAGAAGATTTTTTAATTTATCAGCTCGTAATGCATTTTCTCCGGATAATTGACATGATACTGTTTGGACGGAAGCTGTGAAGTGCAACTTAAACACTTTTCGACCATGTGTCTTAAATTATCTATCCAGACCGTCATAAAGTGATTTTTTTCCACTTAGAACGGCTTAAACGTTGCCTTCTTTTTCGAATAGAAAATTTCTATGCATGGTCCGTTCGCCCATGTTGTTGTGTGTGTGCATGTTATTTGTCGTGTAAGTTGTCGATGTGCTTAAAATTGTGATAGAACTGACACAATAAACCCTTGACAATATTTATGGGACCGAATAACAAGCGGTACATAATTTTTGTATTCGCATCGTGCACGTAATGCCAGTGTTATCAGCGCTACACGATGGTCGTTCAACTGATTTGCCGAGAAATTTTATGTTTCTTTTTCTTCGTATGCCTTGAAAAGAAGTTTTGAATGTAAAGTTATTGTGAACAGCTTTGGCACGAATGAAGGGTTCACACCGAATGAAGTGAATAGTGGACCGAGTGTGCCCTTTCTCATATTTTCAAAATGTGATGTGAATCATTTTAAACGCGTGTTTTTCCGCTACAATTGTGCTCCTAAGACTGACTTGAGGATTTTTGTAGACGATGCCGCTTTTTTACCATTCTGTTACAACCCATAATGCGATTCTAATATATGTATGCGATTTGAATTTGCCAAAGTTTTTCCCGTTTTTGACGCTGTTTTTTCTCTCTTTCGATGGTACAGCGAATGGACTCCGAAGTGCTTGCGAACAATAGATAAAACTGATGCTTAACACTTAATATCATTGAAAAAGTTGACGCTGTTTTTTTTAAAGGCGGCGTGGAAAACACGAATGCAAACACTCGATATGAGTTCGTTGTGAACATATTTTCAGTGTGAAAGCATTGCAGTTGACTTACTGGCGTTGTGAGTTTGTGTGCAAGTGAATGAATGCGAGCTGGGTATCTTGTGTACCGCCACCGCATGTACGCTTCTTTTGAGCCATGCTGCACTTGTAAAATTTCTCTCAACTTTTCTGCTAAAGGAAGTGATAAAATATGAATTTCAATATTACCACATAATAAATTACTTATCTGCTTTTTTATTGTTGTTCTTTTTTTCGTTGGGGAGTGGTAAATGTTTGCAGTCATCCGATTCTCCTTTGCGTCGACATTTTGTGAAAACAAACGACCTTCTTTATTTTTTTTCTCGTCTCATGCACTTTTATTCTTCTATTTTCGAAGTATGTACAACAATAAATTACATATTGCGAATAACGAATGGTGTTCCAAATGTAAAATGCCCGCTCTGATGATACATATTTTGCTCACAGTTAGACAGAATTTTCTTACCATCAACTACAAACTGCTAAAGCTGCCATCGCAGTCGTCGTTTCTATCTGAGCATTGATTCAATGGATGCGACTTTCTCATTTCGATTTTGAAGTGCGCGATTTTGAATATATAACCGACCCGAACATACATTTGTCTTTATGTCAAAATTTTCGCTCGAGAATTCGAGCTGTTTAAGCGTCAGAGAGAAAATACGCCATTGGAACGGAACGAATTTTGTTCAAGTTAAAGCTGAACTCGAATATTTTCCAATTCATTTCTCAAAATAGGACTATATTAGAAAATAATCATATTTGCCATTCCGGTTTCAGTTTCTGTTTCTGTTTATGCTTATGCTTCGTTTTGAGAATCCCATATCATATCAGTAGACACTGTTGATTTCTGTACTGTGGAAATTGTTTTGATTCTCATGCGTCTGTCAACATTTTCCACACAAACTTAGGGGGGCAAGCTGAAACATTGAAAACTAACTAATTGCAAGTGATGACAAAAACCCCGAGCAAAGCCAAAAGTTGATGAATTCAATGCCAAGATATCTTGTATATGTAATTGAAACCACACAACACATATTTAGTGTAATGAAAGCATATCGTAACAATTACACCATAAGAAAGCATTAATGGTGTGTTGTGTATCTGCCAACGAAACTTAAAGTGAGCCATCCGTACATATTAATCAGTTGCACATTGTTGAGTGTAACCCGATTGGGGTTTGTTCCTAGGGGATGGATTTAATCTCACCGCACATTTGAAATTTTCGAATAGCAGCCTTTAAGGCAACGCACAACAATAAATCAAATTGTATCAAATAACGGATATGTATGTTACGTGGCTTCTGTCCAACAGATTTCTCGATCAGACAAACGAAAATGTGATTTTCCATGACATCCAATTGTTATTCATACGTACTAATTAGATGGCCATTTTAGTTATGCATGAATGATTGTTCTCAATTTCAATCCTTGTTCTTGTTGTTGTTGTCGCTGTACTTGCTCTACAGCCGGACACAATCTATTTCCCCAAAGCACCTGCAATAACACATAATGATTTTCGAACGACGAACTCACAGAATTCGATTCTGCGTTGGGCAAAATGTTATTTTCATTGTGTGCGTGTGTGTGTGTGTGCGTTCGTGTAATTTTATATGGTCCCAAAAACTTTCGGATCGTAAAATGTAATTTTTACGTAGTGGATCAAATGATGTGTTGAGTAAGTGTCGAATGGAAATTGGTTTTGATGATGAAGTATAAGTAAAAAGCGGCACAGCAATATAAATTCAGACATTGGAAGAGCACGAACACACTTGTGTTTATTAAGTTGAGATTAATTCTGAGTTAGCATTAAAATTCTTGCTTTATTTATACAAAAAGATTTTGACTCGACGACTACTACACAGCTTTGCACATACGCACACGAGCGTCACACTATTAATTAAAGCTGTTGTTGTTGTTGCGTTAGTGCGCATTTGGAAAATCCTTCGTCAAATTGATTCCGTTCATTTATTTTGGTGTGTTGTGGAAAATGCGTTGTGCTACAGTGAATTTTCTTTTCGGTGAAGGAATTTTATGCTTTTTACATCAATAAAAACAACAGCGATCTCACTCATTCTCTCTCTCTCTCTCTCTCTCTCTCTGCCGCTCATTTCACAAGAACAATTCGTATTAGATGATGTTATGGGTTATTCGTTATGGCTGCATGGTTTTTCATTTACAGGCACACACGCTCATATCGCATTCGCCTCACATCACTATCACACGTTTCGGCAGAAGGCAATGCATTGGACTTAAAGCTCGACAGTCGCAATACTCCGAGTATTGCTCTGTTGTTTTGCCACAATTTATCTTATTTGGAGAATGTGCTGAAGAATTTCACCAAACACGAAAAGTAATTTAAATTGTTTTGTGCCAGTGGAACGAAGGCGCACACGAGACGAGAGACAGATACACATACATATTCCGGCTGAGTGATGTCTTTAAATCACACGGTATACGAAAAATTGTGTGAAATTTAACATAAAATCCGCCCGCTCGACATCACTGTCACCCTCTCCCCCTTCGCTTACTGTGCTCTCCGTTTTTGCCAAATGTAAATGCTATTTATTTTAACCATTCGCAATGCTCAAGCTCAAGCTCAAAGGATACGGATTTTCTTGTTTCTATTTTTGTTGCTTTCTGCTCGATCGCTCCCAAAGTCAGTGCGGGACGAATCTATTTTTTTCCCCTTTCTACGGGAAAACGTCCATGTTTTTGTTTTCTATTTGCATGTTGATATGAGAGTCGGTCGCATTCGTACCGACTGAACATTACACATTTCGGTTGTAATGTTGTCAAACTCATAAATAAATTTATGCATCCAACGGAATCATCCAACAAAATATGTGAGAGAGAGAGGTATAGGAGCCGGACCAAAACAGAAACTGTACTCATATAAGTTTCGAATAAATTTTCGATATCGAAACCGATGTGTGTCACGCTTCATCTGTATGCACATTTTGGTTTATCATCATATTTCATCGTATGAATAATAGGTATTTCAAGCTTCATTGATTTAAATCGAATTGAATGACTTTTCCAGGTCGATTCGACAGAATATCTCCGATACCAAGCAGCGAACCACGTTTTGAAATGCTGTTCTATGTCTTAATGCACTGCCGAACGAACAAAAATCAATCTCACATTCGGTGGTTCGGCCACTTCGCCACATCTGAAATATGTTTCCGAACGATAAAGGCATTACAACGCAAGCATGAGTTCCTGTAGAACACATTCATTCAAAACATTTAAGAGGTTAATGTCAGAAATGTGCTTGGCTTATGTACTTTCACATCTCGTACAATGAGAAATTCGGAAATTTGTCCAACGAAAAAAATTTCAACATAAATCAATTCATTATTACTGTAAACCAGTCCAATGTTTGCTATCTTTAATATGTTTGACTACTTGTTTTATGCGGAATTTGACGTTTTCAAATTGTCGTTGCCCTTTTCTTTGAATTGAGTGCCTTCGATGAACTATGTTGTACATCAATGGATGGAATTTCTTTTATCGTACACTTGAACGCATCGAATATTCCGCTCATTTCTGTTCAACGAGGAAGAAAGAAAGCGATGCAAAGAAGAAAACATCAAAGCTAAATTTATCGCTGCTGCAAGCGAGAATCAATGAGCGACGCATTCCGTGAAACTATCGCTTAAGAACAAAAAAAACGACCGAAAGAAAGAGGGAGAGAAAAAAGAGCAAATATAAGCATTTCTTAGCTCCATTCAATACTCAAGCAGTGCTTCAGCAGCAGAAGCAGTAGCACACTGCCAGCGTACACATGCAAATAATCCTCTTGATGCGGAGCACATCTTGCATTCAAGCCATCAAGCACTTTATTAAGTTTGAAAATAGTTTTTTTTTTATACACGTACATTCGTTTCATTTCATTTTATCGTACGATGTTGAATACTCTACAGATTTTGTAATTGTTTTTCTTCGCCATTTGATTTTATTACTGTTTTTCCGTCTAGATGCAGACGACGTTGCGGCAAGGGGCGCAATTGGGCTCTATTTAATGGACGTTCATACGATTTTTTATGATGTGCAAAGTGCATAGAAATCAGTTTGCAACACAACGGCCACAATGGATATGACAAGGATGCCATCAATATTTCGTGAAAAATATGCCATGAAATTACACGTTCGGTATTTGAGCCGGCGAAGGAGCCAACATTACACCATATCGATGCTATTTCAACACATTATTGGACTTGTTTTTATAGTGATAATTGTAATGTCAGCCGATGTTTATGGTAAGTAGTACGGAAACGGCGGAATTCCAAGCGGAACAAACAAATAAATAATAATCGAAAAATATTCTCCTGGAGCCATTTCGTGCTGTCGGTTCATTCACTGACCTGAAAAGGCGGAAAGTAACGCAGTTGTACGATTGTTCTTCCTTTAAAAGTTCTACACGCAAAAATTAATGGGGCATTTAATTGTGAGAAAGAGCGGCATCGCTCTGGCATTTGTCATGGTTTATGAACTGATGTGACATTAGTCAGACACAGTCTCGCATTTTCACATTGTTAACGCTGAATTTAGCATTTCGTATGAATTTTTATTGTCGTTGCGTGCCATTCGTCTCTCAAACTTTAAATCGCAGCCGGAGATTATTATTGCTTCCGTTGCATGCAAACAAATTGTGAAACACGTGTTGCGGCGGGTCACGAGCTGAGATTTTTCAGCGCACACACACTTGACACGTGGATAAAGCGATTAGAGTGTACCAGAGTCTCTCCATTGGTGTGTTTCAATGGCATTTTTCCACTCTCGGATGACTGATTTTTTACGCTAACTTTCTGAAGGGAGGCCGGCATTTCAAGGGTTTGCAACAAGCTAAGCGTCATTTCAACGCACGCTCTATTATTTCTCACGGATTACGACCGATGTCAGAAAGTACCGTCTGGAATGTGAATCAGTGTTGCTTGTACGCATAAAATTGTGTCAAACCGTTAATGGAATTCCCAACGATTTTTAAGCATTTCATTTGCATATTTTTGAATCGAAAATGTTGATAGTGGCCCGAAAAACCGCTCATTAAATTGGTTGTAATCGGAATTTTATTCAGTTTTCAGCTATTTTTTTACTCTCGACACCAGATCCGCCTCTCTGGCTGAATTTTATCATACATATATGCACTTTATTAAATTAACACGGAATCGAAATGAATAAAAGCTTTTTATTGAAGGGATTCGAATCGCTTTTGTGAAAACATGTTTGGCTGGCGAGTGAGATGAATGAAAAAAGAGCAGTCCAGACGGGCGGGTGCAACAATGACCATAAGAATTGTTAATTGTTGTTACGTTGGCGCTGAAAGATATACAAGAGACAAAAACACTGGAATTCAATTTACTTTGAAATTTGGTGATTCGTAAACATACAGTGTCGACATATATTGGATGAAACCATTCCAGTTATTCTTTTTTTCCTTCTGTATTTGGTGTATGTTTTGCTCATTGAACATGCTTTTGTTGTTTTTTCATCCTTTTGCATTTCATGTGCGTTTGCTGCATCGAATTTCAACGATTTTGGGGATATGAAATACGAAACGGGCAACGTACAACAACGAAAAAAACGCGCGTAACAACGACTGAACAAAAACAGCGGCAGCCGCTTCATCGTTTGAACCAGACTTTGTATTCCCGCTGGAAAATGTTTGTATACACATAGAGGAGTACTGAGAACCATCATTGATCGTGAATTCTGTTTTTTTTTCTCTGCTAGGTAACAGTCGCACAAGGCCGTGACGGTTTGTATTTAAATAAATCAAATAAAACACAATATTTTGCACACCAGCTGAAAAAAAAACGAGAGAAGAGCACACGTAGCACAATGCATAACACACAGAAAATCGCAAAGCCATGCGAACGTATTCGACAAATGAGAGAGAGAGAGAGAGAGAGAGAGAGAGAGAGAGAGGGAGAGGGAGCGGGATAAAAAAGGCGACAACAATAAAACCTGACCAAAATAACATTGACGTGAACTCGGCTATGGCAACGTACGTGTGTCCCATTGAATGGAGCGGCAAAACAACGCAAAATGTAAATTCATTCACGGCGAGTGGAGCAAACAAAAGACTGGCGGTAATCGGAATCCACAACGGGGCAAAAAAATAACAACAACTTTTTTTTCAAATAGAAAATTAGCACTCACAGTTCCCGTCGACCACAAAAAGTGGAAATATTTCAAACACATGCAAAATATGCGATGAATTTTTTTCTCAGTGGTTCTCTCTCTCTCTCTTGCTCTCTTTCTCTCTCAATTGAATTTAATTCGCTTTTAAAAATTAGTTTTTTTTACTGTTTTTTCTTCGCGTTAGTTCTGTGGCAACTCCGTTGTGCCTTCACAACGATACATTTTTACCTAACGTTTTTTCCCTTTGATTTTGGTCATTTGTGTTTTGTCTTTTTGTAGCCACATTTACATGTGTTGTCAACAATTTAGGCGGTTACCGGGTGAGTGGAGATGGTGCGCAAGCTAGGGTAGGTACAATTTGTGTCCGAGTTTTGTAGTTTATTGATTTCAAACACACTTTGCACTGCACTGGATTTTCTTAATCGAAACACTCTTATCCTAACCAAGCAAGCGCAAAAAATAAATGCACAATATTTAACACACACAAAAATAACTCACTTTCAGTTTTTGCACTCACATGCACTCGCTCACACCTATTAATTTCACAGCCAAATAATAATAATAATTAACGAAAATATTTATGAGTAAAAAAAACACTCACACACATGGAGGATTTCTCATTTGAATGCAAACGCAAAGCACACTTCAGCACCACAGCACTCTGCAATGCTATCGCATATTTCTGTTCTTCCCCTGTATAAAAACACACAAACACACTCGAAACGGACTTTTTGAACAACCTAAATGATGCACTGCACATACACTTTTGCACCTGCACTAGCACCAGTAATCACATACGCACATCTTATGCACTCTGCACTTTCAGCAAATTAAAAAGCAAAAAATAGAGAGAAAAAAACGCTCAAACGGGAGAAATGTGTGTAATTTGTTCGATTTCATATATAAAGAAAAAAACCGACACACAGACACATACACAAACATACAAAGCGAACAAACGAAGCACTTGTTAACTTGTGAACATTCTTTCTTCTGTCTGGCACTTTTCTACACCTGTGGTAGTATCGCACCCTATTAAAGCAATGCACTTAAAATCTTTTCTCCTTTAGCTGTTTTTTTTGTTCTCATTCGTTTATTTCCATTATTATTACTTGCAATGGTTTTCATTTCGGGACGCGCGCACACAAAAACACTGGCATTTCATTTTCATTCATAAAACCAAGCACACAAAAAACGACACTGAATTTTATCGTCATAATTAAATGGCTGTAAGTTAAGCTTAATTCACAAATGACAATAGTTTGAATAAGTGGGAAGTACTCTAACAACAAGAGCCATACGACGTTTGCCATTCCGACTTCAAATTAATATTAATTTTGGAAAACGAAAGCAAGGCTAGCAAAAACAAATGCCAATCTCTTTTTAATCTTTTTCAAATTTTATGTAGTTCTGGCAATTAACGCAAAATCGAATTTCCATTTGACAACGCTTTAAAAGGATGCAAAGAAATATGAAGGTGGTGTTCTATTTCCTATCCTTTGGAAGCAGCTTTTGGTGCGATTGAGCTAATTTTTAAAATTAACATTGCCGAATTTGGTGATGGCATTCTCTCATTTCAATTTATATTAACATTTACCAATAAACAGTTTATTTTTCATTTCTACGATAAAAAAGAAAGAACTTTGACATGTTCATTTGCACTATATGACACGAGAATCCTATGATGGAGATTTTCCAAGCCAAACAAATTGATTTAAAGCTGCTTTTGATCGATTTCACTTCACTTTCGCGAAACTCTCATCCACAGCGCATACATAAATTGGCTCATTTATAAGTTACATATCATGTAATTGCATCAAACCAAAAATCCATTTGCCACTTCCGATTTTAAATTTTGAGCACAGAAATGTGAGCGCAGTCCAAAAATTTCCACTGCGGTTTGATTTGGCCCAATATTAACTGTATGCGATATGTTTTATGATTCAATTGAAAGTAAATAGTCAAAAAAACCAATAGAATTAGCTATTGTTCGTCTCGCTTTCACGAATGCCAGCATTGCCGCTCAATTGAAATGTAAAATATTAAGCGGTTTTCATTTATAACAATTATTTGGTGGTTTTTGATTTTAGTTCATATTCAATGATGTTATTCAAATAGCGAAGCCTAGAAAGTGATTCTCTGTTCCGTTCGGTTCTGTTCAGCCATATAGTTCATAAATAATTCAATTTAAATCGTTTCATCAACGAGAAAACCACTTAAAAGCGATCGAAATTCAATTTTTGCCTAAAAGCTTTCGATCCAACAAATAACGGTATCTGTGCACCAATTAGTGAATCTCACCACATACTTTGCCAACGATTTAGCTACTGGCTGCAAATTTATCTACCATTAAATGTAATTAATAATAATATATACATTCCGATTTCCTTTATTGCGCCGATATTGTCTCCCTTTCACTCCGCCACTCCATACCAAACTTAATGTTTCCAAATACAAGGTTTTACGGGAAGTTCTCGCAAATTATTAATTTTCGATATGTGATTTCTCTGTCTGTGCAAATACAGACTTAAGCTCGTCGCTTGGTAACAGCACTAGCTAAATTATTCAAATCCGCCGAATGTCAACGCTTCGAGAAAAAAAATTATTTTTTTTTGTCGTTTTCCATTCTTCTGTGTTTTGAATGGAAGAGCACACAAATTGGCGATCAAATAAAATTAAACGATGCAACTATGTTTGGACGGTGTTTTTTTTCTTCAAATAATGATAGACACTCTACGCCTTTACAACTCTACGACTATTCAATGTGAAGAAAACTCATGCGGTAAAAATACGATTTACAAAAAAAAACGATTTTATTCTAAAAATAACATCATCTATTGAAATCATTTTGATATTTATGTGTAGATTGACTAACTATTTCTCAGCAAAATCTGTTGAAGCATGAGTTGGATTTGTGAATAAACAAATGCATGAAATGTATTCCGTTCTAGTTTGGCTTTGTAATGCATGCAAAATCTGTTGAAGCATCCAAAAGAGGTTTTGGCAAATGATAACATGAATAAAGAAAGAGATTTCTTTAACTAAAATAGTCATTTCAAGTGGAATTCGTCCATGTTTTCGTTTTCCATGAATTTGCACGATTTTGGATGGCTCAATAAAAACTCATTTTTAAATGGATTGCACCGAAAAATTCTTTATTCGACCATTTTTTTTTCGAAATGAAGTTATGTTGACTGTGAAATTGAAATATTCCGTTTTTCTCGGTAATAATATATTGTTTTTTTGATCCAATAATGCGAACACAAACCAGGTGGCTTGGATAAAGGTTAGCACTTCAATCGCAAAATCTACCCATTTCATTCTACAACAAAAAATACATTGTTTTTTTTTTTATTCATTCATTTTGGGCAAAGGCTGATGCAAAAGCAATTTTGGCAATACACGAGCACGTCATCACGAACAGCGATCGCTTGTCTGTCACTCACAATGATTTCAACACATGGACACTGGTGATTCGAAATGTTCGAATGGAAGATCGCGGCCAATATATGTGTCAGGTTAGCATCGCAATGAAAAAAATCCTTTCGCGCTACAATGAATATTACAGGTGGCCGAAATCGCGAGTATATACTCTCCTACTCAATCATTTTTGAAATGAGTAGGTCTCGACCTTCTCTCCTACTCATTAGTTACTCTTTGACTTTGAGTATGTCTCGACCTACTCATTTTTTCCCCAAAGAGTAACTCTACACCTACTCTTTTTCCTACTCTTGTTCCTACTCATTTTCCTACTCATTTGAGTATGTCTCCACATACTCATTTTTTTGCGAAAGAGTAACTCTACATTTACTCACTCGTTTGAAACTATACTCTCTTACTCCGCCCACCTGTAATGAATATATGTATTTAATTTTCATTTTCATTTCATACGATTTATTTCAGGTGAACACTGACCCAATGAAAATGCAGACTGCATTTTTGGAGGTTGTTATTCCGCCAGATATTGTTTATGAAGAAACCTCGGGCGATATGATGGTTCCGGAGGGCAGTTCCGCCAAATTAGTGTGCAAAGCACGGGGGTTTCCAAAGCCAAAAATCACATGGCGTCGCGAAGATGGACGAGAGATCATTGCCCGAAATGGTCCGCATGGCAAAAGCAAAGGTAAATAAAGTACAATCAAAATCATTTCGGTCAAATGATTTTATGTTTCACACATTTCGCAGCGCTGTCAGTCGAAGGTGAAATGCTTTGGCTCACCAAAATCACCCGATCAGAAATGGGAATCTATCTGTGTATCGGTAAGCGATTCTATCACACAAATGTCGAAACTATCTCAAAGTGTTCCAATTTGTTCGAGTTTATTTCAAAAATTCGATTCTCTCTTGTGTTCAATGTAGCTTCTAATCAGGTTCCTCCTTCGGTTAGCAAACGGATGAAATTGCAAATACATTGTAAGTACTTACGGGCAATCATTTTTTTCGGCAAATATAAACAAAAATGCAATCAATGGGAAATTGCGAAGAAAATATTGAGCAAAATTGGGTTGGATATTGTTTGGAAAACAGAACCACCACAAAAAACGATTATTATTACGAAAACAATGTCAAAATTTTCATCGAATAATGTTTGTTTTAAATTATTAGTTCATTTTGACAATTGTTTGAACGACGTCATCGGAAGTGAATGTAAATTGTTTGCGATTGAATCAATTTTTTTTCTGGTGAAATCCGTTCTCATATTTTTTTTTATATTCAAATGTGATGTAATGTGCTGATAAACGCGTCGGTTATGGCATCTCTGAGGAATTCAATATCCTCTTTCTTCGTCTCTGCCATCTTCAGTAAGTGGAACATGTTTATGTCGATAACTGAAAGAAAATAAAATCTTGCGATGATATTTGCATACGCAACGCGATCGCAGTGCTGTTGAGAGGATGTATAGTAAATGTCATTGCATTTCAATTTTCTCGCAAACACACAACCCAGTTTAGCAAACATATAAAAAAGCGATCAACCAACGATTCGATGATTCGTGCGAATGTCGACGGAGAAAGAAGGGGAGCGAGAAAAAAAATGCACACGCAGGCATGCCAAAAACGAGTTACAAAAACAGCGAATCCATTTGGTAGAAATAAGCGGCGAAAAGCCGACAACAAAATCTATTTACATATCCGTTTGCATCTGCAATTGCTGCTATCATTTCACTAGAATTCATATCGCTTTATCTCGTACTAACGCCACAAGGCATAAATCGCGCAAATATTATGATACGAAAATGACGGAGCAAGTGGGTAAGAACCACAAAAAATAAAGCGCACGCCGAATGTGAGCAAAAAAAACCCACTAAGCAATCTAGTGCTATGCGATGGGGATTCACATGACGAGAGTTTGTATTCGATTTTTATTCGTTTCCCATCGAAAATTGTATCGATGATAAATGTGTAAATATTTCGTTCATAAGAGTGGTTTAAAGTTAAATGCCAACATGAAATCGCAATAGCGAATTGTCATTATTTTCACATGAAATCTCTTCTACAAAAAATATTTCGATATTCATTCTACTGACCGGATCATACATTACTTATTCGCAGACTTGACGAAAAAATGAAGCCTAGGGGCTTCACGCAAAATTGTCAACCATTGAATTTGTGTAGTGATAAATAAATAGTAATAAGTTTTAACGATTGTTATGAATTTGAAACGATACAAATAAATTTTGGTGAATTCTAGTGAATTTGTCGATAAATTAGATTTCACAGTCTTGCCAACTTAGCTGTCAAACTAAGTGTCGAACCTAGTGTTTAGCAATGAAAAGGGTCGGTAATACAAATTCTTGTAATTTTTTCTACTCACATAAATTCACCAAAATTCACCAAAATTCACCAAAATTCACCAAACTCCTCAATATTCATTCAATTCAAATGTGAGAGTTTTCGTGAATTCATGTGAGTTTCAGCGTGCAAGAATGGATTTTACCGGATTATACGTCAATAGAATAAATACTTGTTGTTTTTGAATCATTTTTTGAGTGCGTGAAGCCCCTAGAATGAAGCGAGTGTGGTTGTTTTTTTTCTCTTCCATTTCTACTAAATAGTAAAAGTATATCGCATTTTGCATTTTGCATTTCGATTTTCTGATCTGAATGAATATACGAAATTGTTTATCATCTCGAACCGAACGACACTTTTACAACAACGACGAAGCAAAAAGCATGCCAAAGCAAAGTTATCAAAAGCCAATCAAATGGAATTGGCTTTTCTTGAACGCGAATCTAGTTCCAGCGAAAGAGAAGTGCGAAAGAAAAAAGAGCACAAAAAAAATAATCCACCAGACAACGAAATAAATTTTGTTTCCCAAATTATTCCACTCACTCCACACTCTTCTTTCATTCTGACTTTCAAGTTGATCTTGTTCATAATTTTCTCGCCAAAATCGTTTTTGGATATGGATATAGTTGAGCCACTTTGCACAAACCGAACAACAAACGGAACGGTGACGCGATTCTAAAAAGCGAATCGGGTAAACAAGAATAGGAAAAAGTTTTCCACACGAAATGCGAAATGCCTTTGCTGCTGCTACACGATCAGGCGTGCGGGGAGCGGGCGCGTGCAAATATTTCAGAGAAAACAAACTTGAAGCTCACGTAATACATGCAAGAAGATATAGATTTGTGTTTGTAATGCGATAATTTTGAGGGGGTGCCGACACAGTGGACGGGGGGATGGGTGAGCGAAAGAGGCAAAAGGCAAAAAGTTTATATTGTATAGACAAATTTCATTGTTGTTATTATAATTCTTTCGTCGTCGTCGTTTGCTTCTCGGTTAACGCTTTTTTCAACTTCTTCTGCCCATGTTGTTCTCTGTGCAAAGCGCATAGCTTCTCTTCCTCTCTCTATCTGTCTTTCGTTTTCTTGGTTCGCTTGTGCTCCGGTGCGCACTTTGCTCACTTGTTAAATGTAAACAATGAAAAGAACAAATCCGAAACGAGAAGAAAAAAAAATTAAAATAATAACAAAAACAACAGCAAGAAAGCAACTTCCTTGTCGTTTCTACCTTCAAACAAACAACTATTTCATGAGCAGAAAACAAAACGTCTGAACCCATTCTGGGGTTGTGAAGCAAGCCATCGTCGTGCGATGAATAAGAGTGAACCAAACGATAATATGAGAAAACTTTATGCTCGGTTGTTTTCGTTTGGTGGGCATTCTTCTTTTTCTCCCTCGTTGTGCGAGTGTGCTCGCGTTACACGAATTCTTTCAAACATTCAACATCTTCTGTGAACTGTCTGTCGATTACAGTTCCTTTTCGCGCTTCGTGCCCTGTGATTTTTTTTTCGTCGGTGTTGTTTATATGTTATTTGTTTCTGCTGCTCAGTTCATCCCTTCCCGTTATTCATCTTATTATTTAATATTTGTTCGACAAAATATTAAAAAAGTTTTTCGATCTCCGCTTGCGGTACATTACAATCAACATTTACAATGCCGTACAATGCCAATAATAACTGTTAAAGTTGGGAGTTAGAGTTATGACGTGAGAATGAAATGTAGAGTTGGAATGCCTCACGGAAACTTATTTTCTATCAGGTCATGCACTGGCTAATTGTCTTCGTCTTCGTCTTTTTTTGTTCGTAACAACTTCCGCTACCTCTACGATGTTATGTATCGGTTGCCGGTAGTAACAAACCATTTTATCTCTTATTGTGCAGTTCATCCGTTGATACAAGTTCCAAATATGCTGGTTGGGGCGCCGCTTGGGGTGGATATCACATTGGTTTGTAACGTTGAAGCCTCACCAAAAGCTATAAATTATTGGCAAAAAGAAAACGGTAATTACTATTATTATTATATAAACGAACATTAGAACTAAATGTGACTGTTATGGCGCATCCAGAATCAATTATTCCACTCAGTTTCATAGGATATTTGGCCTCTAATAAAAAATTTACATGCTGAATTGTTTTAATGCGGATCGTCAATTGAGTGTAAATTATATGTTCAAAAAATATCATTACATTTTTTTGCTGTCTGCATTCATATGGAAAAAAGTTGATGGACTCTTTGCGCTTCAAGCCATTTTTTTTTTAAATTTTCGAACGCACACAGAATCGAATATGAAAACCATTGAAAGTTTCGCTGAAATGAATGAGAAAAAAATGTGTGTAGCCACGGCCGAGAGATTATTATTTAAAAGCATTTTATTTTGGTCAGAGTATTTCATTCCCAAATTAATTTATTATTATTTAATGTGCTTCGGGCTTTTGATACTTTTTATAGCGGCGACTGACTTTGTGACTTTCCTATATTGAATTATTATTAAATTCTCTGCCATTTGGTATCATGTGTCTCTTTTTCTCTCTCCCTCTCCCTCTCCCTCTCCCACTCCCTCTCGCGCATTTTTATCGCTGTTGCCGCCATCAATGCTGCCACTGTGAAACTGTATGCATGCAAACGACAAATATGCGACGAAATGTGCGCCGTGTTGGCAATGCCGTATATCCATCGACACCGCGACGTGACCGCAAAATCAACAATAGGCGAAATGATAATACCAAATGACCGTTATGTGATGCACGAAACGGAGAGCTCCATGTACGCCATACAGATGACACTTACCATAAAACACTTACAGAAGCCCGATTTCGGTGGCTACCGTTGCATATCAAAAAACAGTATAGGAGGCATCGAAGCCACAATCAGATTGTATGGTAAGTTATGCATTTGAAATTCCACTTTGACAGAGAAAATTGGAAATTCCAACGGATCAGCAAAACCAAAATCCCATTGCCAAGCAATTTGGCCAAATAATTGAAAAGTTGACGGAATTGGTCAAACGAGTCGAAATCATCAAAATCGAAAACAGAAATAAAATGGAATTTAAAACTCATGACACGACTTCATACAGTCGCTTCAATGTTCCGAATAAAGCGCGAACAGTTGTAAAGCGGATAATTTCATCACTAACTTTCGGCCCGTTTCGGGCGCACTTCGACTTCATCGTTAACAAACATCAAATGTCATCACATCATTATCACTAGGGAATTGTAAATTAAAATGATGACTCAAAAAATACGCCGTTGAAAATAGGTTCGACAATTTATTCTTTTTGATATCATTTCATTTCACATTTTTACTGGAATATTGGTGTTCACGGCTTGGCAAGAAAAGTTTTCAAATTAATCTCTCGGAATTACTCCATGCTTTACACACACCCACACCAAACCGTCGCAAAGTGTGAGAAAAGCGGTCCATAATCAAAAGTAGAGGAAAAAAAACTCCTACAACTCTCATGTTTTGTGTAAGGATAAAAAATCGCCGTTCGCGTTTCACAGTTTATATAACTCGAATGGTCCAAATAAACTGAATGGATGAATGTAAATTCTGAGTGTTGTTTTCTTCCCCATTCTTTATGTCGTACCGAGATCGCCATGATAAAAACGTTGCTTACAAAGCAATGGCCCAAATAATCTCCATCTTTGTGTTATGTTCTTATTATCAAATAAGAAACTTTTACGGGCGAAGAGTATAATCGTGTTCGTCAGGTTTGCTGTGCCAACTTTACAAGCCAAATTATCCCTCATATTTTCATGTTATTAGTTCCGTAAATTGAATTTAATGTGTTTTCTGCCTTATTTATGCGTCAAATTTGCCGTGCTTTGTGTAACACAACGAAAAAAAAATTATCTTGTGCAACAGAAATGGAATTGACAAAGAAAACCAAGCATCAAAGACTCAATATAGACGACGATGTAAGTATCTTTTATTTTTAGTTTTTAAAACTGAATATAAATCTTTGAGCCATTGAAGAGTGTATGCGAGTGAATTGAATAGAAGCAGTAGTAGTGGTGCTCAAATCTCCACTTGATTTGATTGTTCTGTATCTTTTATGCTTCTTTTTTTTTTAAATTAGGGAAATAATTTACCCAATGATGATTCGAATGAGGATGGTATTATAAATAAAAATGGGCGACTGTATAAAGTGCAGCACGGCGAAAATGATGATGACGATATCAACGATGTGAACAGCAGTGCATCCACTTTAAACATTCATCAACGGCAAGAGCATCGGACAATGATGGCAAAAAGCACACCAAACTCAATATTACTTTCAAGTATCATTTTGTTATTTGCACTCGACTTTTTGTTGTTACCTGTTTTAAGTATCTACAAACAGCGAATGATACGACGACTATTCCGCCGATTCTCACTGTTATAGTTACCTCATTCGGCACACAATCAAACCATTTAGCTCATCTCTTTTTTTGTTGGTTTTCGAAGCAATTTTTGTTTTGTTTGTTCAACTTTCGCATATTCTCTCATTTGATGGAACATTTTCGATTTTTCACTACGGATATCGCATTGTTTGTGTTTTGCAAAAAAAAAATGGAATATGTATAGCAAATTCATATCGATAAAGTGTGTATCATAAAATCCTAAATATTGAATTTCCATTAGATTGCATTGAAAATCGGAATGGCTATAAAATTAAATTATTCCACAACAGAGAGAAATTGAATCGAGGTCAAATGCTCGAATTGCCAAAGTACAGATTTATGGATCAATTCGGCAATGGAACGTGAATTTTTTTATTCTGTTGCTATGCTGCAACTTCTCTCGTTCTCTCTCTCAAATAGGCCAAGTGAGATGATTTGATTACGTTAATTTCTCATTCAGGACATATCAATGTTATAACGATTTGAAATCAATCATTCGAACATTATGTTTTACTTTAAACAAAATCGCTCATTTCAATCGAACAATTGATTGGTTTGAGACGAACGAAGAAAAAAGAACATTTGCAAAATCATTTTATTAAAAAGACAAAAAAGTGCCAAATCGTAAACAAACCAGTTGTACGACATTTTCCATAAATCGTTTAAAAACCTATCCAGCTAATTTTCGACTGATGCGTTGCTGCTCAAAAACGAAAATCTTGTTACATACACGCTCCTCTTGCCATCACCGGAACGATAGTATTTCATCGGATGCCGCGTTTATAATACACGCAGGTTGTACCGAGGAAAATATCAAATTGAGTAGTTAATTGGGGGCTCAATATTTCATAGATTAATCGTAATTACGTTATTTCTATATAAGTGGAAAACAAATGGAAATGGAATAGAATAAATCAGTTATGCAATATAAAATATTGTATTAATTCCAGACACAGACAAAAAATAACGGGCGCGATCAAATCGTGTCCACCGTTTATAATATATTGAAACACTGTATGGCATTATTATATAGAACAATTAAATGAAGTGTAAGAATTAAATAAAAAAGAAATAAATAAGAGAAGATGTGTCTAAGAAAAATATGATAGAAACTAATCGTTGTGCTGGATACGCAAGAGCTATAGGAGAAGATGAAATATTCATATCGAATGGAGTGGTTCGATTGACAAAGGAACCAACGGCTCTTGGGAATATCTCAGTATTTTATGGTTTACTGCGTCTCTTTCATCTAGAAATTCTGAGTGCTTTGAACCATTTCTAATTCCGTAATTTACTGACTATTCCTCGTGGTCATCGATATGAAAATTAGAACGAAAAAAAATGTCACAATCGGATCACTCTAGTAATGATATAAACAACGTATCATGTAATAATAATTCGATAAAATTATACGACATAAAATTACATGAATCAAAATTATGAAAATTCACAAACACACTCAGTTGAGTTGGACTTTGCTGAACTGCATAATATCAATGTGCATTTTCGAAAGAACGCATCAATAAATCTGTACCAAAAAAATGGGAATAAAGTACCAACCTTAACCGACAAATTTCTTTCATTATTCTCTTAGATAGCCGAAACACCTCGTTAAACAGGTTAGTACATCAAAATTGCCTTCCATTCAAACAACGCCAGCACACGGTGTGTTGCATACCATGTCCTTTCAGTTAAGCTACTCATTTTATACTAATCTGAAAATAGGTAGCTTTTGACACTTACTGCAAACAAAAAATCTGCTGTTGTGGTACAAAAAAGGTAAGTAGAATGGTCCCTATGTAAATAAAATGCTGTAAATACACAGAAATAATCGAATAAAAAAAAGAACCGACAAAACCGTCATTAATTTATGAATAGATAACAAAGAGTCGATGACATTAATGTGCGCCCATGATTAACGTCCGTTATTAAATTTCTTTATCACATGTGACGACCTCTAGCTCTTTCGAATGATACCATTGGGGTTGCGGCGATAATGTATGTATGATTTAAATTATGGAGAAAAACGTATGTTGATGAAATGTGCGATAATAATTTCATTTACATTGTTCCCCACCTATAAACAGCATGAGCATCATGAAATCCTTTGTCTTTCCAATAGATGACGTGAACGATTTTCCATTGAACACAAATAAAACGCTTTCTTCGTGTATAATTTTCGGTTAATAGAAAAAGTTTGAAATCATAGGCAATTTCAAAAGTTTTATGATTAATATTTCAGTGAATTTTCATATAAACTTCAAATAGTTTCATGTGATTCAAAGTATTTTGGGGCAAAGCATTTGCAATTGCGGTGCTCATCCTTTCATATGTATCTGTCTAGGTGACACATGAATTCTAATGCATGATTTTAGCTTGTAAAAGCCGCTTGCTATGCAGCCTTGCAAACTGCAAACAATGCGTTGAACAAATGTTATAACAAATACTCAACGGATGTAATATGAATGACGAGCGAAGCAAGGCAAAACCAATCCAATGCAAAAACAAATCGCAACGGATGTGGAAATGTTCGAAAATTAACCGACAATTTGAATTAGACGGTATTGTTTCTGGAATCGTTTAGAGGTCTCTATACGACAGCCATTCCCCGGCTCTTTAGTTTTGTATGCTAAATGTTCAACAATGCAGGATCTCTAAATTGTAAACACACACGCACACACCACGTTCAATGCGAAACGATCAACGTGTGAAATAGCAAAAAGGTAACTACGACACAAGCATTTTGAAATGCTTGTGAAACGAAAAGACGACCAAAATGTAATTTTCGATTTAAATGAACGAGTGTTAACTGCAACAATTTACGTATATTATTCGATAAGCTGACGAATCCAAAGCTATAACGTCTGGAGTATGCCTATAATGAACAGATTACGATATCAGGCGAATGTGAAAACCCCTCTAAAAGCGCACAACAATCCGGCATCGGCACCGAGAGATACACACACTGGGTGAGTGTATGTGTGGAAAACAAAACATGAAAACCTTTAACAAAGACTCAAGCACCACGCTTAGTCAGTCAACCAGGCAGTTTATATTGTTAAGGTATACACACAAAGTGGTTGCGAGAATTGTGTTTGTTGTTTTTGTTTCTGTTGTTTGGGAGAGAGAAAATAAACTGGCACGACGTCGAAATGCGAACAAAAGGATGAGCAACGGGTAGGAAAAAAGAGCCACAAGAGCAGCGTACACGGAGTAAGATTGACGATAAGCGATAACTACGAGTATAATATTAAAATAACACAATGCTACAAAGGAGCATTAAAAAGCACACCGAGCGAAAAATCATAAAGCGAGTAGCGGAAATTGTTCGTTGAATGTTCACTACTCGCTCTGTGTTTTTCGTTTGCCATCGCCAGCAACGCGGTATCCACATATATCTGCACGAGCATCTATAAACTATACTGAATGCAAACGATGCGAGTGATATGAAAAAAGGAACAAAATAGCGGCGCATTTTCAACAATACAAAACAATGAACGCATTCGACGGCACGAGAGGGAGAGTGAGAGAGTGAGAAGGGCAGGCAACAGTAGCAGTAGTAACAACAGTAGCGAGAGAGGCGAAAGCGCTTTTCATTTAATGTAATCTTAAGTGTAATTATGTGTACGACAATGACGGTATATTTTCGGTTGCTACAAGATCTAAATACGGATAATGGATAAATTTTACAAGTACGTAAATGGTGAGTGCGAAAACAGCTCTCTTTCTCTCACTTTGTCGGATTTTTCTACGCTACTGATTTCGTAACGTCGTTCGTTCGTTCATTCATTGCTTTGGCTGTTGGTTCGACAAGCGACGACCACTCCGACACGTCTTTTTATTTACTTGTTGTCTTCTTTGTCGTCATCATCGTTGTCTTGACACAGGCAACTGTTTTGTCTTCAAATGCTCTCTCTCCTCAGATGCTTACATTTTTCCTGCTCATTTCGCTAGCATCTTCATGAAATATCACAGAATTGGTACTTTTGAATAGGAAATTCGGCTCGCGATTCGGCTCGTGAATCGGCTGTGCCTGAATGAGCGCAACTTGAATTTCGTAGCCAAATAAACTTCAAGCAAAAAGTGCTCCTCAGCACAACTCACCGGAATTTTTCCGGCTCTATTTTATAACCGTTATGAATTTAATAATTCTTTATTTAGTGGGTGTTATTATTCTACTTAAAAAGTCATTTATTTACTTCTTTTGGACGGGAATGTTTTTTTTCTTCATCTTTTCTCTTCTGCAGAGTCAGGTATCATGTAGCGCACAGCTTTAAACTGGCCCAACGTTGGTATTTACACTTATTCGTGTTCCAATTTCACCTAATAAATAAGAAGCCCATGCTACACACTTCAGTGTTTGTTTGTGCAGAACAAAATGCACTTGACATTTATCGTAATTCCTTACAACTTTCTGACTTTTCTGTTACCTTCAAACAATACCATACAATGATGTAGCTCGATTTTATCTGCCGGGGAAGTCAATGTACACTGTACAGGTATTTGTCTTTTTATCTGAATCGGACGATGAACGAAAAGCAATAAAAGCGAAAAAAAAACAGTCTCAACACCAGCTGACTTAAGCTCTACAGTTCTGAGGAAGCAGCGTACAAAATGCGCTCCATAAATTTTATCGACTTCGCCGAATACCAATAAATTGATATTTATATGAGTCGCAATCTCGAGCGTATAGGCGCATAGCATCGTCTTCAGTCTTTTATTGTTTTAAAGCATCTTTTGAACATTTTATTTATTAATTGTGAGCACCGAAAATTTGTCTCCATTCATTCTGCATGGACACAGCACAGGCACATACATCATTTTAAGCGACGGGACAAGCCCAACACCATTTGGCTTTCGATGTAAATCGCTTTTTCGCGCCAATTCAATGTCACCATGCTTTTTTTTATTTTTCATTTCATTGGATGAATGCCGATTTTTGCATGGAACCACTTGGCAAAGACAAGGACACAACAAGGAATTGTTTAAGAAGGTGAGTCAGCGACGCGTCTCACAATAAAACTTTCTCAATAAATAACTATTAAATAATTTATGGCGGAATGGATGTCATTCGTCTTTCGCTCTCTCTCTCTCTCTCTCTCTCTCTCTCTCTCGCTCACTTTCTCGAAATAATAAGCCATAAATAAGAAATGAAGGGGGAAAAAATATATGCATGCGGTCGGTTTTTTGGTTGGACGAATTAAGCGTGACATCGAACGGCAATGCTTCACTAAGAGAATAGAAGTGAGTGTCGGTTTGAGTAAGTTTTTAATGAGCTTCATGCGGTGAACAAAACACGCACTCTGTTACTGGCTACAAACTTTTTGCGTTTGTTATTGGTGTGAAGTTTTAAGCATTTTCAAAATACCTTCGAACAGAATGTTCTAAATTAGTTTTGTTGTCGTTGAAATTGGGTTCGGCTGCCAAAGTGCATAGGCTGTTCAGCGAATATAAGCAAAACCGAACGGAATGGCGTTGATGCATCAACAATTGCAAGTGAAAATAAAAAACTGATTCGTCGACGATGTCTAGGATGATGTTAATCACATTTAATTCCCTATAAGGGCAAAATTATGCGCCTCTCTAGTTCATGTGTCATTTCCAGTGGAATAATTGGTTTTCTTTTCAAACGCTGACACAGATTATAAATTTTAGTGTCTGTTCGTACGTTCCACTCCATTTACATTTTTGCTAAGTTCAAAGCACCATCATTGCAAGTGGTACTTGCTTTGTTTTTATCGCTTTGAGTCGATGCGAGGTGGGGGGGAGTCAGGACCGAGTTTCAAGTCGATTTTTCAATGTGCAGCAAATCTAATGGCTAAAATAAAGGAATGTAAACATTTTAATTGTGCCTAATGGGAAATCGTTCTCACTGAATAGATTTTTCTTCGTTTAGCATCAATTATGTTTTGCCACGATGATAAGATAATGGCAAGTATCCAGTGAACACTTATGAGTCGAATTTAGTTGAAACGCAGCAGCGGAAGAGCTTCGACGGCGGCTGTTTCTCTACTTCGCACTACACTTGAGTGCATTTGTTCCGGATGACAATAATTATAGTTGTCGATTAAAGTGAATTTGCTCGACACTTAGCAATGCATTTTTTGCCATCGAAGAGTATGAACAAAAAGCGAATCCATCACAGTTTTGCCGCACCGCACCGTTTCATTTTCGCGATGGCTGATACTTAAGTGCCGCGTCTTTTTTTTCTCTTTTGCTCAGCACTAATTTTGTTTAACGCCACCACGATTTATTGACTACCACAAAATTTATTACTTTATCGTCTCATCTGCATGTTAAACGCATTCGCCAGTCGGAAAACGCGTTACTGTCATTCTTGCTCCGGTGTGCAGCGCTCAAATTAAATTATTAATCTGCCGTGTGTCTGTGTCTGTGTCTTTCTTTAGTCGCTGTCTTTTGTTATGTCGTAGGTTTTTGCGATCTGCGCTGCTCCACTCTGCTCTGTTCCACTTTGCCTCCGCTCAAGCAATAAATTCAACTAATGTGCCGGGCTGTGCCATTTTCTAACCAAAAATTTTCGCCTTCATTCGTAATTAATTCTACAT